GATGATAAAACTGCTTTTTATGTTCTTGTGCTTTGTGTGTGCTGGGATGTCAGTCGGTATAACTGACGTGTGTCTGCATTACTGTGTCACTGTACTTCTGCCATTTCTCAGCAATTTCACACTTTTTGTCGTTAATGTGGAAGGAATTCTTTTCATCCTGATTAGGCTTGTTTGACTCACTGTGGTGTCACTGACGACCGATGCCACACTTACGATACAGAAACTCTATAGCTATAATCTAAATCTCTGCAACTAGACACAGTGTTGTGTTTAGCTGTTTCTGTCGTCACTTTTGAAGAAGTCGAACGTCAGGATAATGCATAAGTGCACATTTGTCCCTTAATAAGCTGCTTGTTGTTAGACTGCATGCCAATATTGTGTTATAAATAATTTAACACCACAGTGTCTTATTGCCGCCTGTAATTTGATCCAGGTCTTCTTTCCTGGACTCCTGTTTGGACTCTGTGTTTGTTTAATGTTTTTTCTCTCTCATGTGTTTAAAATTTTTATCATATTTAATCCAAATGTGTTTACCTGGATCCTGATTGATAAAGTGAGCTACAGGGCTCAGCCCAAGACATTATCAGAGGCAAAAAATGGCAAGCCAGTACTAATTTACCTTTTAAATATTTCATAGTTTGTGTAGTTCATTTATTTTAAATGAACCAGCCTAAGGGTATTGGCAGTGCTAACTCAACATTAGCTCTAGCTCCCCCTCACCTTTACTCCTATGCCTAGTGATTAAAAAGTGGTTAAACGCTCCAGCTGGTGAGGTATAGGCTAACCCCAAATATCATCATTTTCCTGTTTAATAAAGTTTAGAAATCAGTTTCACTGGTGAGAAATCTGAGCAAAAAAACATATTATAATACAATAAGTACTTCAAGAGCTCAACCTTTCCTTTATTCTTTTGAAAAGTATTTCCAGAGGTTTGTAGTGAAATAAAAAATTTGAACCCTTTTTGATATACTTTACACAATATTTTGATTTATGATGATATATACACGTGTAGCATTCATTTCATCGTTTACTTAAATATGTTTAAATGATTAATAATAAAGATCAAGTGAAAACGTTTTTCTCAGGAACATTGTATGTGTATTCAGATTGTACAGTTACTGTAATGTACATGAAAACGCGTTATAAAATGAGTCTACTTCATTTACATGAGTGAGTGCCAGTTAAATGACTATGGAGGTTAAACATGGACACATTCTGTTGGTAGATGTCACATGTTCCTGCCCCTACTGAAACAGAGAGCATCTGAATGTTTAGCTTACAGTTCTGTAGGAAAAACGGGAGAAAAGAGGGAATAATGTTAATGTTGCATTTGAAACCTTCTTTTCACCATGTCTGCATATACACAGCAGGTGAGGAGATAAACCATAATATTTCAGTTAGACAAGATCTCTTTCTAATGATCTCAGTACATGCTTGGATGAAAGTATGATGGATTTAAATTGCCATAATCAAGAATAAATCTCTCAAAAATAATGGCGTGTCACTGTAGCTCAGGAAACTGCTGTGCTCTGAGTCCCTTTTTAATCACTATCAGGTGCCACTAGCGGTGGCCGATGGCCTGGTCAATAATGATCGGATAGTTGCTCTTGGGGGGAGGGGGACGCCACTGCCACCTGGGGTCCTCCTCCATCTTTTATACATGCCAGTGAGGCCAAGCTCATCAAACATTAATGGCCAAAGCTTGGATCGCTCTACCTCCGTCAGCTAGACTATGACCCTGAGCTGTCAGTGGTCCAGGAGAGGTACTCCCGACCCGGCCCTAGCTGCCCCGTGAAGCCTAAATTCACTCCGACTCTGGTAACAGCAATGTGCCACTTGGTCACGGCCCTCGGATGGATTACAAGCTCGGCAGTGCTCTCATAGTATCCCATAACCAATTAAAATCTAAACTATTGAATGCTAACCATATTCACCAGGACCTTTCCCTTCCAAAGTGCTTTTCCCAGTATGGTGTGAGCCAGGCCATTATCCTCAGGAAGGGCTCCGGCTCCATCTTTGTAAACTCAGAAAGGATTGCTAGGTTCCAGCTGGAAGTGGCACTCACCAGCATTTACCAGTGTGAACACCCTACTAACATCAGGCTAGTCACATATTATGCATTTGCAATTGTTTGAGTTGAGTTATCGCCCAAAACCTCTGGGTAGTCAAGTAGAAGGTTTTGAGAAGGAAACTTATGCAGCTTATTAAACAGAATTTCGAATATTACTCTCTCGTTTAAAAAGTCTGAATTCATCTTCATCTGGAATGTGCGATTTAGCTTTTTGTTTCAGTTTTCATCTCGTGAAAACAAAGGAGCAAAGCTATGAATGAATAAAAGAGAGAGGTTAAGCTCTCGGCTATTCACTTCATGAACAGCTTAGTTAATATGACTGCAGCATAGTTTATAATGTTACGTAGCTAATCAATAGGGGGCTAATGGTTCCTGGAACACCTCCTGCTTTGTGCCCACACCCTTCGGCTTGTATTATGGGAGAGTATCGTTCACTGGCAGCTCGGGGTTTTTGTTTTCACTGTTGTGTAGCATATGCCAGGAGCGGCAGGAGTGTCGACAGAGGATGGACATTAGTGCTATTACTGCTTGAGGAAATGCATGTTGTTAATGGTGTGGTGCATTTGCAAAGGCTGCAGGAACTGAGTGTTTTATTATATGTTTGGACTGCATGTTGTCACCCCATGTGTTTTGCATCGCACTGATTAATTGTGCAAATCTGAGAAATGCACTTTTACAATAGAATAATAACAGTAATTAGAGACACACTTTCCTTATTTGTAAGCTGCTGCATCAATTGTGTTTACCCTTTCTGACCTCTTTACGCCTGTTCTCCTCCCACTTCCACCTCCTGCTGGCCACCCGCCCTTTAAATAAACCCCCCATCCCCTAACTCACCCCACCCAGCTTTCATTCTCTTTCCCTCATCTCCTCCTCTTCATCCGCTTTTATTATTTCTGGTTGAAGTCTGCAATCAATTAGTATGAGAGAAGGCCCAATCAATTCCCACTCATTTGCAATTCCTGCCCGTTAAACACTTTCCTTTATTACCAATGTCATAATTAATGCGGAGGAGATTGAGGGGTGGGGGGTGGGGGGATTCTGGGGGTGGGGGAGTGGAAGGGGGTGGGAGAGTCTTTGCCTTATCGCCTGCTGCTCATCCAGACATCACTAATCATCAGTGTAGCGGGCCATGCTTGCTTTGTACAGCAGGCCCAACAGTAAAGAAGTGAAGCTGGACTTGGCGACAGACGCTTTACAGTTCTGTCCATATGACAGTCAGTGAATGCACTGCTATGGAGAAGTAAATATATATTGCGTATGTTCTGAACGTCGTCACAAGAGTAAACTCGAGCAGCCCGTGTTGGTAACTGTCCCCCAAGGACAAACTGTCCACAATGTCAGAATTTGCTCAAGGACATCCTTCATTTTTTTTAAATTTATTTATTTATTTTGCATGACATTTCTCTTCAGTGGAGTGTGATGCAGAAAACTGTTCGGGCCTTTTGTGCCGAACCTCTTGCAACAAAGATAAGCACATTTTCTGCAGTGCTGCAACCCCAAATGACTGCAAATTATGCTCTCGCGTTTTTGGCTCATTTAAAATCAAGCCAGAAAAAGAAAAAAGAAAATGTTGAAAGGTGATTACAGCTGAAATCATTATCACTTAGAAATGCCTGAAATGTTCCTACACTTGTCCTGAGCCTGTGGACCTGGTGGTTTTGGTTTGGATTATTATCTTATGTTTAAAGTTAATTCATGTTAAGATTTTCTTGTTCTTAGGTTTGGTTTCTGTTTTGTATTTTGAGCTCCTTTTGTTCTGTGTCTCTGTTTCCTTCCTGTTGCCATGTCTTATGTCTCGTGTCTGTGCGTGCCTGTTGTACCTCCTGTTTTACTTTGATAGTCCCTGTCCTGTGTGTAGTGTGCCTGGTTTTGCTTCCTCTTGTCTCGTCAGCTCTGATTTCTTCCAGTTGTGTTTCCCTCCTGTCTCCCATTCCCTGATTGCTCCTGTGTGTATATAAGCCCCGTGTTTTCTTCTGCTTGTTACTGGTCTGTCTGCGTTACCTCCACGTGTCATCCTGTGTTCCACTCTTTATGTTTTCCTGTGAGTTATGGTTTTAGATTTGTTGGTTAGATTGTCCCAGGTTAGGTTTGATCTTAGCTTCCGTCTGTCCCATCTTGGCTCTGTCTGTATTATTACTTCATGTCAATAAAGCTCACTCATTGCATCGTCAGTGCCTGCGATTGGGTCCTTTTCCCTTCGACTTCACATGGCTGCTGCGGCAGTCGTGACAACACTATCTACAAAACAAGTCTACAAGTAAAATTAGATTAGTGAAACCCGTGCATTGGCTGCTTACTATTAACCAGCATGCATGTTAATGAATTAGAATAATTTTAAATCAAACTTTCAATCTGCTATCGCAAACACCACCAGTCCCCAACTTTCATGGTGTTACAGGATTCAAATGTGTGACTTCTGTGACTATAGAAACTGACATAATAGGGTCCAAGAAGGAAGTCACAAAAGACAAAGTTTCCTTGGGAGTGGTGATGGTTCACTAATGTTTTAAATGAGATTTCAGATAATAAAAGAAATCCTGTATTTGTGTGTGCACTGTTTGAATGTAGTCATACACTCTCCAGAGTATATGACCAAGTTTATTGCACAATGAGTTTTCCAGCAATGCTACACAAAATAATAAAAGCACAGAGTAAGGGCTATAAACAAGTACAACATTTCCACAGAAACGCACAAAAAAAATCACAAATGAACAAAACATGAAAACAGCTGTGAAACCACCACGCAGAGATTCAAACTGGCTGCAAACGGCCCTCGCGTCCTCAATGTGACGTTTCCAGGGGTCCATTGTCTCAGATAGGGTCTATGGCTAGTAGATGTGCACAGCTGTGTGGAAGCATGTTTTATGAGCAGCAGGATGAGATGGTAGTGTGACTGGGGAGGGAGGGTGCCATAATCAAGGGTGGTGGACCAGTGGTAATTACTGGGAAGCCCTGCTGCTCAGTTAGTGGTCCCAACACACCAGTCTGTCTTCTTCTGGACCCTAATGAAAAGCCTTTTAATATCTTATTAGCTTTTAATGTCACTCTGTGGGAGTGGGTGTGGTCTGGAGACTTTTATTAGAGACTAGGAAAATGGGCCTGCTTGCCGGCAGTTTGTCATTTTTGATTGAAGAGCCGAGGGATGCAGGTGGAGATATAATTACACCGGAGGTCAGTAATGTTTTCATAAGTGTGCGGTTGCGTGTTTATGTGCAGCCTTTTATGGTTTCTTCCTAGTCTCCATTTCGGCCCGCAGAGGTGTCCCTTTGATGGATTGTACAGATAAAGTATTTGATGACACAGGAGAGCCCGGGCCCATTAGAAATTCATAGCAGATTATCCACACAGCTCAAATGAAAATGGACATCAGAGACATAATGGCTGTCGTTGGCATTTTCCACCACTTTCTGTGATATTGTTTCCTTTTCGTGACTTTACCACTCTCATTTTTGAAAACAACAATTCTTCAAAGAGTCGCTAACAATCATATTGTTCTGCTTGTGCTTCACGCCGGCAGCTTTCATCCGATCGCCTCTATCAAGTCACGGTGACAAGAGCTCTCTTGCAGAAATGAGCTCTCATGCTGCATCAATACGAGTTGTCTTTGAAGGAAGTCCATGCAAACAATTTGTGGACTTTTTGTTGTATTCTATTTCGATTTGTTCTTTTTTCAAAGGTTTGTTTTCACTCTTTGACTAAAACCTCGTCACAGATGTCGCTGAATCATCATTTTTCACCAGAGACAGCACTTTGGAAAGATGCTTTGTAGTGACAGTGCAGAAGCATGCCACACATTATTTAATATCTGGCTGCGCAAAGCAGCCAGGACCTAAAGGTAGTGGGTTTTTGCCGGGCTGTTTGATTGCCGCTCAGCTGTAGCTGTGTGTGTGTGCTGTGTGAAATGTGTTCAGCTGTTATGGTGCATCCTGCATACTTGTTAAATATAAATGGCCGCCAAACTGATCGTGGCAGGTGAACACTAAAGCTCAAAGGAAATTCCTGTCCAAGTCTTTAGTCTTACAAGTTGAGCTTTAATACATGTGCACATGATTCAGTAGCCCATTTGCTGACCTGTTTAAACCTGAAACATGGGTCAGAGCGGTTTTTTTAAACACTTACATACCTTGATTTGTTTCTAACTTAAGACAATGTCAAAGTCATTTTACATTGAAGGCCACGTACAGCCCACTTTGATCTTATTTGGTTAGGGTTAGAGATAGCTTGATATGAGAAAAAGAAGTGAAGTTTCAACATTGAGTCTCAGTTTTTCTACATGATAAAAAAAATGCTCTGCTCTGTCAGCACCCCTCTTTGGGCTTAAATTGTTAGAAGTAAATGTGTAAAATTAAGAACTCTGTAATTACACAATTTGGTGTAGTATGAATGGCCATGGGGGACATCTTCGTCACTAGGAAAAGCTATAAAACTTGTAAAAAAAATAGAGTGAAAAGTCCAGAATTTATGTCCTACTTCACATTTTTCAAAGCCATCCAATGAGCCACATTGACTGGGGCTGACTCTGGCTCCTGGGCCTTATGTTTGACATCCCTGGATTAGGCCAATGTATCAGAATCCTGTTGCCCGTGAACTTTCCAAGGTGTATAATTCAAAATAATAAAGAAGCAGAAACATATTTCCTTTAAAACGATAAATTTGTCCGTGTATCCTCCACGGACTCGTCTTTCAAACAGCCTGCTCTGACTCGTCACAGAGTCACAGCAACCACAGCGATCATCAATTAGTCACTTGCTTGGTTGATGCTGTTTATGATGCAATCCATGGATGTCTTCAAGGGGCATCAATTAAGTGAAAGTCACTGGCATGTCTGTTTTGCACAAGGTATCCTTTAGCAGCAGTGAATGATGCACCAGTTTATGCTATTAGTGAGACATATCTGTCACTCCCAGCTCACCTTTTTTCTGCATGCAGGGCCGCTATTGTGATGAGACATATTTTACCCCAAACCAAGATCTTGTCCTGAATCTACTCTGTCAGAGTAGATTTGAGTGCTTTAATCTCCCCACAGAGGTTTTTTTGTATAAGGGCAAATCTTTTAAATGTTTAAATTTATGGAATGAATGCACACATGCACGGCACATGTTCGATTGCAGACTTGATCTCAGAACTAAAATCTCTCAATAACCAACGTCAAGGCAGCAATGCTAAAGAATGCCTTCTTCATAATGAAAAGAAGCAGATAGCATCAGATTAAACTGCATTTCATGAAAACCTGCCATAAGAATATGTCGTCTTAGCCCACTGGGCAATCCACTGATCCCTAAGGTTCACGTGGCTTGCGTGTCTTTAGCATACCCTAGTGTGTCAGAACGCGCTTGCTCAGACACGGACCAGTTGGAATGGACACAGTGCACGTCTGTTGTGGTCGCTAATATGCAAGGAACAGTCAAGCACTGCTTCTATGCAGCAGCATTAAAAATTGCCGCATGAACACACTGATTAATTTATAAGTCATGCGAGAGGGGCATAGGCAGCGCACCCAAAAAAATCCCAGATAAGCTGCATAGTGTGAGAGTTCTTTTCTTCTACACAGACAGATTGTGATTTGCGTGTCTGTGCGTGTAAATGGGTATGAGAGAGAGAGAGAGCGAGAGAGAGAGCATGAAACTGAGATGCTCCTTTCAGTTCAGGATGAAGAGAAAAAAAAGAGGCCTGAAATATTTGGGGAAGTGGGGATTGGTAGGGGGGGATTGGCTTCTAGTCTTTTCATATCTTATAGAAAGACTTGGAGACTCTTTCCAAAGAATGATTCTGCCATTGTCCCACTCTCTTTTTCTGCTCTGCTTTTAAATGATCAGATCATCTGATGAAAACCCCTCCCTACAGTCAGTAGCAGTACATCTGCATTTATGGTTTGTTAGCATCCAAACTGTTATATTGAAGACGTTTCTCTCACAAATCCAGCAACAGTACGCTTCTTATTGAACTCTCGTACTACATCAGATTTATCTTTAAAGTGATGCATGGCGTCGGGCCATGAGGTGGCACTCAGCTGCCTGACGGTAAACACTCATTAATTCCAGCTCTGCCAGAACACACAAACATCTGCCGTCTGTTGCCGTGGTGACTCAATGGACCCCATCCAGCAGGCACCGTAGCATGCCTTTTTGCGCACCGTATTTCAGTGCACACAATGCCAGCCGGTCCTGGTACCAAAACAAAGCAGCCGCCTCCTCGTGGCTTGAAGCAGGTCCGCTGTGTGTTAGAGGGAATCCCGGATCCTGCGCAGAGCCTGCTGCTTGCTCACATGTGCGTGGACGGATGTTTAAATGCTCCGACAGAAGCCCTGACGCAGCACAACCCAGGCCCTCGCTGCCTTTCTGCAGACGCCGTCCGTCCTGACATCGCAGGCTGTGGGGCAAGGCCTGGTTTCATTTTCGAGGATTCTTCTCAGATTCTGTTTCCTGTACAGAGGTGCTTTTCTGAGGAAGTGACTTATCATTTCTATCAGAGTGATAACATCAACCTGGTCTGTGTGAAGTGTCTGCTTAGATTTGTGCAGCTGTTATCAGCTTGAGCTGCTTTATTCATTGTACCACAAAAAGTAAAAGCCACGATTCAATTTGTGGTTCCAGGAGGCCGCTGTGAGAAAGCAGACATGCTGTGAGCGCTGTCTTTAGTAGCGTGTTACATCTGGACACCTTAATGTTGTGACAGGCTGTCAGGAGACGGTGTCTTGCTTTCTTACGCCGACTCGTTTCTCTTCGTGGCGTTGAAGCCGACAGTGCTGATGTGGTGTCAGAAGTAGTGCCAGCACAACACCAAGCCGCTGGGCTGCGGGCGCCTCTAATGAGCTCCCCTGAGTGGTATGCAGGCCGATGGAGATGGCCCGTCCTCTCTCCTCCCCCTCGCTCAGCGTGCTCGCCTCTAATTGGTGGGAGAAGAAAGAGGGACTTCACTCTAACAGGAGACAAAGCTTTGTTTAAAGTGAGTGACACAAAAAGTAAAAGAAAAATCTATTTCTGCCTCATGTGAAAGCAGGTCCTCTCACCCCAATTATAATTTCTGGCAAAGGCCCGAGGTTTACGTCGTCCAGTATGTCCTGAACCCGAGGAGAAAGACATGGGTGACGCGAGCAGAGTCAGGTGTTCGTTTTGGACGATGGGAGACTCTGATGTGCCAAATGAATGCTGCTTTTTCACCTAGTTTTAATCACACTGTTGGCTCTTAATGTCAAAGTGCTCTTCGTGCTCCTGATGTACTAAAGGGCGCGATGACTGGAATAATGACGCCCTCTACTGCTCAGTTAGCAACACAGCCAACGGAGGGAAACAAAATCAACAGGGGACCATGGTACATGTTAGCTCAGCTCAACCACCAAAGGATCCAGAGGGAAACACAGTGAAATGTCTTTATTTTTTTATTAATTCTAATAAAGGCATGGCTGTAGTTTAAGAGGTGGAGCAAGCCATTTCTCATATTGTTGCTATGAGACACGTCTGGACAGTGTTCAGTGTGTGTGTGTGTGTGTGTGTGTGAATGCAGCTCAAAGCAGAGGCTTGATAACTGCTCAGGGCGTGCGCTCAGGCAATTATGACATGAAATCTTTGTGTTTCGGTTCTCTTTATCAAAGCAAGCTTGTGGCAACATTATTCAAAGACATATTTTGGATTTTAAAAATGTATTTAAGCATTCTGGTGTCACAGTAGCACACCAGGGTTTCCAGGAAGAACAGTGTACTAGTGTCATTTGGCTCACCAAATTGTGTGCACACATCACATTACGTGGATACAAAATGTGCGGAAGTAAACTAAATTCTTATGCAAAGTGTGATAAAGTATTAGCAAGAAGAAAAATGGATGCTTAAATAAATTAAAAGGCCTGGTGTGTTGATTCTGTTGATCATCCATATTTATTAGTCATTTAGTCCATCACTTGCACAGCCAAATTAAATTGCTGCTTGGGGGCCAAAAATGAGCTGCTGGGTTCTTTTGCTCTGTTATCTTTAGAAGCTGATTTCTAAAACACCAATGATGCACAAGCAGTAAGTTAGCGTCCAATAAAATTCCTTTCTTAGGTTAGTCATATATGAATTTCTCCACAAAAACCCTTGAATCTACAAACATTTTACATTTACTGTGGTTATAGTTGATTATCATACACATTCAGAGTCAGAGAGTGTTTATTATATTGATCTCTGAGTGTATCAGAGCCTCGTGAAAGATTGGTGACCTGTCCGGGGTGGCACCTGCCTTTCACCTTAACAATAGATGGATGGCAGAAAATGGTAAAAGTTCTTCTACCTCAGCCTTCATCAGGATGAAATTGCAGCTTCTTTTGCTCTGGATTGTTTGCCCGGTGTGAAAATATTAATTGAAAACCACACAAAAGTACTTACAGTGTACGCTTCAGTGGACTACACTGTGCTACTATGTTCTGAAGCACTGTTACCATAGTGTGAACCCGGAGCTTCAGAGAAACCAGTCTTGATCATTTAAAACACTCTGTTACATCAACTATTTCTCGAGGCTGTACCTCTGTTATGTAACTCCTACATCTGCCCAGCTCTAATTACAAACCCCGTCTGAGCTGTCTCAAGGATGTCACGCCTAAAACTTTTCCTTGATCTTCTTCTGTATGGCACTGACTTTACTTCTACTCCACTCTCTCTCGTGTTTCTGAGATCACTCTGTGTCCGCACATTAGTTGTCATGCATTCAAGGCCGTTTTTCAGAAGTCGGCTGGATACAATAAACTCTCATTTTCTGTGTAAATGCCTTCCATTTAAATGCATTCACACTAAGCTTAAGAATGGTCGGCCAACATAAACTTTAACCTGCCTATTTGTGTCTGGATTCATCTTTGTATTCAATAAATGCCTGCAGTAATTCTGTTCTCAACTCTGAGATGATGCATTCACATTTCTTTTCTTTAATTCAATCCAAAGTTTAGAAATCCGAAAATATTACAAAAAATATATCAAATAAAATGTAAAAAATCAGCGCGTTGCTAATCGGCTAATGTTTGGATTTATTCATCACAAACCTGTGATCATGAGTCTTACTGTGCAAAAATGATGATTGGCTAATTTCATATGAAGCGTAGTGCTGGCTGCTTCAAGCCAGTATAGCTGCTGTCACTCCAAGGTGCTTTGCAACCCACCTCAAACCTTTATATTATTCATGCTATGTCATGTCATGGTTGTTGATATCTGCTCTATTTTTAAAGGGAGTTTTGTTGCTTCTCTCCCTGTATTTTGGCCTTCAGGGTATGAAACTGGATAGGTGTGGAAGTCTTTGAACAGAGCTGTAAAACCAAATATGTATAACTGCCATATGGTTAATTTTCATGTAACTAGTCTTACAGCCCAGAGCCAGAACTTAGCCACTGAGCTCTTGCTGCTGCATATAGTGACTTGACACTCTGGGGGCATTGCTTGTTGAGATTTATAAACTGTAAGTGAAGCTGAAAATGTGAGTGAAGAGGGGACAGTGTGTTGTTGGCTCAACCTGTGAATGATCTAAGAAGCAGCTAGCCAACTAGCCACAGAGCTTCATAATTACGTCACCACCTATCATCCTGATATAATCTGTTCTTGTTTCTAAGAACTGCTGTTTTAGCAAAGTGAATATGCTGCTCTAAAATTATGCAGTACTTGGATAGTCAAGACTTGGTGGAGTGGTTTCAGATCAGGTTTCTTCTTCCTCCTTTCTTCTTCTACTTTTGTTTCTACTTTTTTCACCTGCTCCCTTCAGGGGTCACCACAGGGGATCATCTGGCTCCATTCACAACAACCCCAACATCCTCCTTCATAACATCAACTCTCTGCATGTCACTACATGCAAGAACCCCCTCTGTGGTCTTCCTCTTTTCCTCCTGCCTGGCAGTTCCGTCTTCAACATCCTTTGTCCAATATATCCACTATCCCTGCTCTGCACATGTCCAGACCATTTCAATCATTCCTCCTCCAAACTGCTCAACCTGAGCTGTCCCTGTGATGTACTCTTGGTTCTCTTGGAAACCTGAACATCTTAACCTCTTCAGTTCTGCCACCTCCAGCTCAACCTCATGATTTTTTGTTAGTTCCACCATCTCTGAACCACAGACCATAGCAGGTCTCACTACCATCTTGTGGTCCCAGATCAGGCACTGGCTCTGAATTTTTCCTCAAACTGCCAAATAGGACAAGGAACATCCAAGAATCTCCTCTATCTGAAGTCAGAGCTACATTATTTTTTTTATACATAAAACACATAAATAGGAGCCTCTTTCTTGCACATAGAAACTTAAACTGGATTCAAACTGGAAAGTCTTACCATATACTAAAAAAATATACTTTTTAAAAATTGCACTTTTTTAAAATTATCAGCCTTTTCCAGTTAGATTTAAAAGGCTGAAAGATCTCTCTGGCTTTCTTCGTGCTCTTCCTCTGGTTTGCTCTGCAACATTTGAAACGCTGCCGCTGATGCCTGTGATGTCACAGGCCGTCCTGCTTTCAGAGGCTTATGGAGAAACGATAACAAGCTCCTTTATCCTCATTAGCGCCATTACATTATGACGTAGCCTCTAGCTATTGTTGTCTTTCTCCGTCTCCCCTTTGTTTACCTTCCCTTCGCTGCCTGAGACACAACCAGCCAGACAAGGTGTATCTTAGTTAACTTTGTCTGGAGAAGAGACACGTGAGGAAAGCATAACATTGTCGAGGAAATCTCAGGGCTGCCTGCTACAACTCTGTCCCACTAGAAATGGTGGAAACACAAAAACTACATTTGCTCAAGAGAAAGGTGCTAAAAGCAACTCCTGAGTGTCTCTTTAAAACAGATATTCTGATATACATTCGATGGACATGTAAAATCAAATCAATGTTTCTGACCCAGAGCTTATTCCATATCTTTTTATGCAGTCTGTGCTTGTGACTGGTGGAATCCAGTTAGTGTTGTTAAAGCTAATATGAGAGCACATACAGTTTTCCCCTAACTCAACAGCAACTTCTACGACTGAGAAATGAAGCTAGTGTGGAAGTTGAAATAGCTGCCGTGAGGCTGACTGCATCATTCCCCACAGAAAGCTCATAGGGGTTATTCTTAAACTTGTTCAGGCTCGAATTTGTGCATTATTATATTCGGTCTCCGTTGAGTGTCAGATGGGATCCTGCTAGGTTTTTGTTAGCTCAGCTAATTCCTCTCTGAACTCGACCTCTCTCTTGTGTAATGCTGTTTGTGGCTTTTGGAGCATTTTAGTGGAAATAATTTGACCTGCTGTGGGGTTAAACTCATCCATGCTTCAGGTTTTCTGACTAAAATCCTAGCATTGTATTAGCCTGTTAGCACTACATAGGTAGGTATATGTACTCCAAATCCACCCTTTTGCCCTGTCTTTCGGTTTTTGCTGTCTTGAGTTTCATCTTTTAGAAACAGCAAACTAAAAACACGATTTGATTCAGTAATCTGGCTTTCTTCAAGGTGCTGTCATGTCGGTGTCACTTGTTTGCAGAATGAATTATTTGAAGCTACTAGTAGTTATTTTTATTCTCGCTGCAGGGAACACGCTGGTGTAAACAGCTAAGGCAGATTTTTTTTTGGCAGCACATGGAAGAGAAATATTTAAACCTAGGTGATGTGATCTAAACTGGGACGCCACCTGTCAGGAGGAGCCATTAGTGGGAAATCCCATTACTAGTAATCCTATAGGCCCAGTGATAGGAGCACAGTAAGTAGTCTCCACTCTCTCCTTATGTCGGTTTCTCGTGGCCTCGCTGTATAAACAGTAGTGGCCACAAGCCTGTGAGTGCCAGTCTTGGAAGAGGACATGACCCCTGGCAAACTTTCAGCAAGTGGACAGAGAAACGAGCTCAGGATATTAATGCCGTTCCATGCCAGCTGCAGTTCATTGTCGAAACAGTGAGTCGTACACTCTTAGAAGCTCCTTCATTTAAAAAAAGAACGCTTCTCTCTGTTAGTCTGTTTAATTGACTTCCATCGTCTGTCAGATGCAGGACTGCGTGCTTCATCACCACCTTTCAGCCAGTTTTGTCAGCTTCAGCAGTGCTTATCACCTCACAGTTTTAGCTAAATTTAGACCATTGGCTTAATGCCACGCTGCTGTGTTATTGTTGTTGATGGTGGTGGTGTTGTAGTAATGGGTTTCAGCTAAACATAGAAACCAAGTAGAGCTCAAAGTCAGTACTAATGGTAGTACTTTAACTTTAGTAATGATTTGGAGGTATTTTCAATTCAGATACTTTGGGTTATTATCCAAAAAGTAGCATTATCTCACAACTAGAAGGCAGCTGGTTCAAACCTCCTGGTAGGTAAAGGCCTTTCTGTGTGTTTCTCTGTGAGTTTCCACAGTTAAGTTGTTACGTTATCTGGTAATTCAAAATTTGCTATGAGTGTAATACAAGGTAGATAAATTGCTCAAGTGCGTGGATTCATAAATGCATGTGAAAAAGGTAATATGGCTTTTTAAATACCACTTCATTCCAATCCACAAATAGTCAAAGTTCTTAAATGAAAGCATTTAAAATTGGTCAAATCACAAAAGGTTACCAATGTGCCAAAGCATCCTGACCACCTAAGTAGCTAATATGCTGTCAGTCTTTGCATGCAGCCAAATTACCTCTAACCGATCACAGGTCTTCTAGAGTCCAGGCCTCGAAGATTCCTCTATCTATCTGGTGCCAAGACATTAACAGCACATCCTATAGGTCATGTAAGCTGTGACTTAGAATGGGATGAGGCTTATTCCAACACTTCCTCCAACATCCTGCTGCTGTTGATGGTAAGTCACACCACCATCAGAATGTGGTCTCTCTACTGTCAAATTACCATCATGTGAACTTTGCAGTTTGGGTCCTGCCTTTTTCAATCATATCTTTATATCTGCTGATTGATCCCACATACAACATGGAGGTAATATTTTTTTTGTTTTGGCTCAATGGAGTAAATATACACTTTTTTTCTCCAAGCAAGCTATCAGTTATTGGCATCACTGTCAGTCTAAAACCTTTCACAATATCAAACTCAGAGGCTTACTCAGCAAAAACAGATCATTTCTTGTTCAGTCATAGGGATTAAATTCACCATTTTCCCAGAAGAATCACTGATGTTTACGCCTCTTTATTTCCCACTTTGCTGTCTGCATGTTTCCCTGCAATCAAACTCGGAGCAGTTCATCTCATTAATTACTGCACATTCGCCCAGAGAGGAGAATAAGCCGGTGCATGAAAAGGCTGCACGCACTCAGGTCTCAGTGCTGCCTCCCTCTCTCTCGCTCTCTGTCAGTGTGAAGGACTAGGTGCAGAGAAAAACCTTGACCTTGCTGTGCTGCCAGCGAGCAGCAAGGACTTGCCGGGCTGCGTCAGGCTGGACACACAACTCCACTGAGAGGGAGGGAGTGAGTGGGGGTTAGAGAGAGAGAAACAGAGAGTTAGAGAAAGGGAATAGAGGAGGGGCTATGCTGAGAGAGTGACAGAAAGTGGTGGTGGTGGTGGTGGTGTTGAGGGGACTCAGAGTACAGCAGGGCCCGAGCTCTCTCTCTCTCTCTCTGAAGCTGGAGGTGAATGTGGAAGGATGGTCCCCTGCCTTCACGCTGCCAGTGTCGACCATATGCCGGGCTGCTCGCTGTCTCTCCCTGCCGGTAGGGCTGCTTCTCCTCGTGCTTCTGTTATTTTCATTTTCTGTCATGTCATACCTGCATATTGGCCTAGCTGGGACTGCTTTTTCTTCTTTTCTAATCTTTGGAGTGTGTGTGAGGTGAGAGCAGAGACGGAGAAAGAGAGTGCTTGCAGGCTACGTATGATCTTGTTTACACCCGCTGCCTGAGCAGGTGTCTGGCAGGGATGACTGCAGCAGCTGCAAATGCACTGTGCCCACCCCCCACCCTACGCCCCACCACTTCCACCCTCGCTCATCGCTCCCTCTTCCCATCTCTCTCGAATAGTCTGATGTCATGGCAGCTGATGTTTGCTGCCTGCTGCTCGCTGTAGCAAACTGGGGTTGAAGGGACAGTCCAACTTCTCAGACAGCGCCTGGACTGTTGTTGTCCTTTATCTCTCTCTCTCCCCCCATCTGCTCTCCCTCTATGCAGAGGCAGATGTGTCCTCCGAGCAGCCTTGCAAACCAGGGGTTGTGCACTTGTTGTTGATGTTTTTTCTCTTTGGTGTTGTCTTTAACTCTGCTGCATCCCGGTTCTACTTTTGCTGAGCGCAGGCGTCCGTGTGATGAATTCCTATTGATCATTTAAACAGACCCAGGAATAGTTCATTACATCAGGCTTCTCTCTGCTGACCTAGACAGCATTCAGCGTACAAAGTGGACAGGCTCCTGTGCCATACTAACCATTACTGCAAATGAGATGGAGGGTCCTCAGCAGTCACTCCCCTCTGCCTTGTACCAGTACTCATTGGCTTGCATGTCTTAATACGGTTTAATAATATTAATTCAATATTAATTCATCCTGCTTTGGCCCGCAGCACAGGATTACGTCTAACTTGTGTGATTTTTTTTCCTGTATGTAGCCTGAGAGCCCACATCCAGGGCTTTCAGGCTCTGAGGCCAGAACTGCTTTTTCGGTTCTTGGTTTCTGTCCTCAGGGGCAGGATTTTCAGGTTGGGTAGATTATGCAGCATTAAGCTGCTTGGTATCAGATAATTCTACAATGATGAAATCCTCTAGGGTTATGAATTAAAATGGGTTGAGCTCTGCCGTTGTGTTGCACTCATGAGAATGTTTGTGACTCTACACTTTTTTTAGGGTTTAGATTCAGTGCATCACAGCTGTTGCTAAACAGGAAATTTGTTGCCTTGTCCAACGTTTAGGAAGACATTTCCTGCCTGTTTTGAATCTGCAGCTCGGGTGCAGAAAATAAAGCGGATGGTGCCATAAGTGTTCTGAGAAGAGAACGCATCCAAATCACTCCAAGAGTGAAGCACGCAGAAAGGTTTAGGCTGTTTTTTTAATGCAAACTACATCAGCGAGTGCTCGATAAATCACAGGCTCATCAGAAGGAGGAGGACGAATCAAAGGAGGTGAAAAGGAGCCAGGAAGCTTTGACAAGCTCCTGATGACTCATCTTGCATATGATTTGAAAGGCATTAGGTATGGGCCCAGCCGGCCGGACAGAGGCTCACTCTGCTGGCCCATCAGTCATTATCACTCCAAGGAGACTCGACTCCAGGATAATGATTCTGATTGGAGTTTGCTGAGGTTGAATGGAATCCAAAATCTGATGCACAGCGTCATCAGAGCCACATTTGTTCTCATCTTTAAATTTGAGTTGCCCTCTTTGTGTTTGGTCAAGTGAATCATATGCAGCAAGACGGCTAGAGTGATATCACTCAAAGAATCCTGAATAGAAATGTTGAGAGATTTTTTAGATTATAGTTACTCTTTACATTTTTGCACATGCACAGTCCAACCTTTCTCATTCGCAGAGTGTCATTGACCATTTGGTCAAAGCATGTGGTATGCCAGTTTATGCACACAAGATGTCCTTCAGTGGTGGAGCGTGAGGCACAGGGTGAGACAGGCCTTTCACTCCAAACTGGTGCAGGCTCACTGTGAAGGGAACAAACTTGTTCAAGTCCAAGCCGTCATGTTTTGGAACCACCACAATTTCCCATTCTTGTTGTCTTTTTTATTGCCGTGCTTGACGACCGCTCGTGACTTTTGACCCCTGCATGGTTCTAGAGAACAGGCACACAAATGGCCTTATGGTGGCCGTGCACTTCTGATTGTTGTGTTACTAATTGATTGGCTCTACTTTATACCTGAGGATGTGGGCATTACTGTTTAGATGAAAGTACAAGTCTTTGTATACACACAATTCTCCACCTCTCAAATGCCCAGTGATAAGACGTATGGTTCCAGCCAGTCTGCCATAGAGATTACAGCCTGTTTATGCCTGCCCAGCATTGGTCCACTGAGTCTCTAGGATTGGTGTCAACAGGCTGCCATAAAGCCCAATAACATGTGGCAGGGAAAGGCTGCAGGGGATTATTATGCTGGTGCTCACCTCGTCTCTTCCTATTATTACCACAATTACTGTCAGCAGCTATAACAGGGGTTCTTGAGATGCTCTAAATTGTGAACGATCGTGTGTCATAGTGATTTAGTTTCACTACTACAACGCATTTTTGATGCAGAATGGCAAACCCACTACAGGAATGAGTATTCTGCATGCTGTAACAGGCTGACAGTTTCCTGTGGGATGAAATCAGGCCTTTAAATAAAGGGTGGTTTAAGGGGTGGGAGTGACAATCAAGTGAAAAAGCAAGTTTTTACCCTACTCTGTGTCGTCATGTGAAAAATATAGTATATCCCATTGTTCTGTATCATTTGCTCTACCTCACTATGGAGCAATCTTGTTTTTGCCAAGTTGCTTCAGTTCATTGACATTTGCAGGGATTTGTACATGCACAGCTCTCTTATGGTCCTGATACAGCATTTCAGTCATGTTGAGAAATGAAAGCAGTAACAGTATGCTTAGGTTTCTGCGGACCATGCAGACTTCTGTGTAAACTTTCTTCTTCATATGACTGTGTTTTTCTTGTTGGGTGTGTAACCTTGCAAAGGAGATTCCTCCATTTGATCTGTTTTTGATATGCTTGTGGTCTAAGTCCCCCTTAATCCCTAACTCTAGTTCTAATCCTAACCCTACATGAAAGTGTAAAATGTCTTAGAAAAACTGTTCATCAAAGTCCAGAAAAGCAAAACAGCAAATATTAAAAATAAAACTTGGGTGTTTGTTTACCCAAACCTAAATGAACCTAAACTCATAGAACTAAAAAAACAAACAAAAACAAAAGACATTCATAAACTTCTTCTGTTCGTGGCTTTCAAAATGTGCAAACACACTGTAAAGACATACAAATGAAGCTTGTTTTTGTGACTGTTTAATGGTTCAAATAAATCCACACTGTATCTCTGTGTTGTTACAAACATAAAGTGAATGGAGCTTTCATAGCGGGCATACTTTTCCTGTACTCTCGCCAAGGAAAATGGGAATACGATTGTGTGCTTTACATTTAGGATCAGTGGAAAATCTCCTCACATGCTTTGTGTGCTGTTTAAGATTATCTATCCCTGTGTCAGTGTGAATCATGTGGTTCTATCCCGGCTCATTTGTCCACATAAACAAAAACCAAACATTCAATAAACAGATGCTTAAGCTGAAGTAACTTACTGGCCCTCTGGGAATTAATGCACTGATCATGAATTGTAATATCTCATGTTCTCTGTCCCCTTGCACCCTGTCATTTCTCTGAGTTAGTTGAAATGTTATTGTTGAGTTATAAAGTACAGTGTATCCTGAGTCTACAGCATGTGGTGTGAAAAGTTGGAACAGTTTTTTTCCATTTGTACTCTAGGTCTGCACCAGATTGGCCATGGTGACTGTGGCTTGGCAGCTGGGTTTTCCACATTTCTACTCAAGGAAAACATTTCCAGAGGTGCAGCTAGTCAGCTTCCAATTGCTGGAATGTGAAGAGAGAGGATGTACCGCTGGATGTAATGCTTAAAAGAAAGACTTATTAGAGCTGTTGGAATTTCATGATAAGCAAATAGCAGCTCATTTGCAGACTAATTTTTGTTATTTCTCAAATGAGACTTGATGTGATTCTTAAGGCAGACTGAGGTCAGATAGGCAAATAATTTCGGCCATGTGCTTTGTGCTCTACATCAAGTAGGTGACCTTCATTGAATATGGATTTTCAAATAGATTCCTAACTGGAATTAAAACTGCTAAATGAGCTTAAAGTGAAGAATGTAATGCTGTTAAATGCTTAATTGATGCACCCAACTGGACGTTCAGCAGCTGAAACAATTATGTGAGACATTTACAATCTCTATTTAATCTAAGAAATGTTAGCCATTTTCTCAGACCCAGAAAAACATGTTTGTTGGAATGAATTAATGACAAAATTTAGATTTCTTTTTGATCGTGATGAGTTTTGGCACCCAACTGCTGGAGTTGGCATCAAATTCCCGCTTGTTGGTAAAGATGTAGTCCACATTCATCTCTTATTTCCAGCTTAGTACAATTTAGGATGAACTGAGGGTTGTACTGAGCCTGAAACATTGTTTTAGCATTATTTCCCCTGTTTTAATTCCATCCCACTGGCTGTCCTTTACACACAAAAGTTTAAAACAAAGGTAGGCGGGGCTTTAGTGCAATCAGCCAAGCTGTGTGAACATGTGCATATGAGACACTCCCAGTTTGTATGAAATAGAGAACCGAGTTGAGAAAAAACTGAACTAAAAGATAAACATGAATTAATTTGGTTTAAATGGAAAATGCATAAAAAATAAACTTTGCTGAGAATCATCACAGTTTTTAAGTTTTAAAGAAGTGCAATGACAGTCTCACAGCACCATAGCAAACATGAACTGTTGCTAATTTGGTGTCAAAATGTCACAGTTCTGTGGGGGAGTGGGGGGGCTCATTAGGGGATGGAACAATTTTGAGTTTGTACTCAAGAAATGATTTCTTGAATATATTAGCTGTGTATATGGGAAATTTCAGAATCAGTTCAGTAGATCATGGTGATAATCTCGCTTCTTGGAAAGAAAATGTCATGTCGTTAAGCGTACACGTAACCTTGTGAAGGGGAGGGAGTGGATGGATGTGCCTGGCAATCG